CACTTAATTTAATTAGCTAGCTCCCCATAATTAAGTTAAGGATTAAATAATAAAAGAAAGAGATACCACGATGTGGTGATAGAATGTTTACAAACATTTTGATTCCACAATCAAGAATAAGTGGTTATCTGAAAGAATCATAGAATTTTCTTCATTTCTTTCTTTCATTCTATGATGTTGTGATAGAATGTGCTGAGAATGAATTCTAAAATGTAGTTGCTATCAAGTTCCTCCATTAAAGATGGTAGAGGTTGAGGTTGCCTCTTGATAAAATGAAACAGTCATCGTTAATTATAGATTTTAGGATAAATTCAGATAGCCACTTAATACTTGGAGGAGGCAGTAATACTTGCCCCCTCAAACTTTGTTTTGCGACAAACACCCCCAGCCCGATTTTAATACAATGCTTCGTAATCCGCTAACGGGGTTGATGGTGAAAATAAGATTACTAAATTTTTCATTCAAGATTCTATGAATCGACTGCAACAAATATAAAAAAGAAAATGAAAATTCTAGAGCCAAATTGGATACTTAGTTATTCAAGCTCAATTTGTTAAAACAGTATGAGGCTCGAGCTTTAGCTCGAGTTCGGTTGGACTCAAGCTCAATTTGAAAGAAAAATGTTTTATAGAAATAAAAAATTATTTATTATATATTATTATTATTATTATTATTTGTATATAGTAACAATAAATTATTGTTTTGTTATTAAGAAAAACAATATAGTACATGACGATTGACGATTGATGAACCATGAGAGACATGGCTCATGGCTATCTTTAAGAATATAGTATATATATATAGTGGATTCCTCAAATTTGCATTAACTTACATTATTGTTGAGTTGACCAACCTTGCGCGTAGTAGCCGTGTCTATTCAATCATTCAGATTTAGAATTAAAATTATGTGGTTCACTCCACCATGGAGGATATGTGTAAAGGTTGGGCTGGTGAGGTTTCAAGTGTGACACAAAGATGTGGCCAGCCTCATCAGTACACAAAAGGACAATATGTGGCAACATCAAGGTTTGTAGAATCAGTACGAATGCTTATCCTTATGAATACACACTAATTTTAATCAAAAGTCAAAATAAAAAATATATATATATCTATATTTATATTTATGCTATTTAAAAAGTACCAATCTACTATTAAAATTTCTGGAATTTTTCTTGATAGAAATTGACTATACTTAAGGGTTCATTTGACTCAAATTTGGAATGGAATAAAAAATGGAATGGTATATTCTCATTCCCATTGTTTGGTTCAAACAGGAATCTGAATGGGAATCGATATCAGTGGAAATGGAATTTCATTCTGGAGGGAGGGAGGGAGAAGGAATGGATATTCTCTTAAATGGAGAATGCCATTCCATCAGGAATGAGAATAGGATTTTAATTTCATCTAATCAAATATTTCGATTCCAATTCCAAAACCCTATTCTTGAGAATCAAACAGGCCCTAAAGATATTCACACTTGGAATGGAAGGCAAATAATGTAGAATTCAATTAATTATAACATTTACAGCATTTATTTTTCAAGGAAATAATACCACTTTTTAAATTATCATCCCTATTGATTGAAATAATACAAAGTACACAAGGTCAAACTTTAACCGGATGGCTCTCCAATTAAAAGTAAAAACCAACAGAAGAGTGCTTTGATTTATTTATTTTATTTTTTAAATATAAAACCTATGTTTCTGACTAACCGTTAGCTCTCTCTTAGATTCCCTTTAACCCAAAGAAACCTTCATCCCTAATCAATGGAGAACAACAATGATATGACAAAATGAAATTTCAATAATTAATGGTAAAGGGTAAAAAATAGGAAAATCTTTCAAACACTTGACAAACAGTGATGTAAGAGCTACTCTTCAACCTAACAATGCAATGACCATTCAAAGGGAATCTCTTAACATTTGCAATCGTTCAGTCAATCAGTTCTGTTTTATCTCAAATTTGGTTTTTGGTCAAAAATTGTTGAATCGGTTAACGATTCATTGACTCAGACAGTCGAACTGTCGGCTCATCCACCCATCAACGGTTTTGGCCATTTTTTATTTTTTTAATTTTTATTGTCAGAATGAGCCGTCCATTCGAACCAACCCTAAAACCAATGACCAGAACGATTCCATTTTCAGGTCATTTTTTAAAACCATAAATTGAACCATGAATGACAATTCAATGGTGGTGGTAAAGTATTGTTGTAGTTGATTGACTTACATGATTTGTTTTCAACGATAAGAGCAATAGTGTTAGAAGAGTACCAGTCATAGGTGTGCTTTACCATCAGCCCTGTATTGGAGACTCATAATAATTCAATAAAATGGCGTTAAATTTTAGAAAAAAAAAATCTCATATTCTATTGTGGATGATAATTTAAACGGTAATTACATTTTTATCAGTAAATGTATTTCTAAAGGAATTTAATTCTGAATCTTTCTCGAACTCATAAAATAACAAAGGCTGTTATTTGTGAGAAACCATTGTTGACTATCAAAATTTTAGGACAGATGTATAGTAGTGGAAAGATATAATTTTGAAGGAGCTTTGGCCACTCAAAAACCCTGTTTAATTTTCATAAATGCCACCTTTTTTAAGAAAAAGAGTATCCATTAATTCAAAGGAGAATCAAGTACAATAAGCTCATGAAGAAACGATGGTTCAGAAGACCATGTATAGACGCTCTAAATGGAATAAGCAAACTTGATGATTTGGTGAGGAAAAGTGTTAAATAGCATTTTGGTATGCAAGAAACTACACACCTAAAAGGAAGAGACCAAGCTTCTGCAACCGCTAATAAATGCCACCTAATTGGTTACAACTTCTTTGATACCAGTTTATTGGTTGATGAAAATTTCTGGTGTCATAGTTGAACCCCAAAGTTTTGATATTCATCATAAGAATGGTCAATATTTTAGAGCTCCTCCACCCCCTGAACTGGTCAGACCCCGATACACCCACTGTAGGGGCATATTTAAAAGATCCCAGAATGATACGTATCGGCCGATATGGGCAAATACATGTCGATACTTTAAACCTTGATCCAGATTGATGCTAATGACTATTGAGGAGACTAAGTGACCAATTATATATACACCTTTACCTCAACATTACAAATTCACCAGCATTCCCATGTGTATACCGCTCAAGCAATCAATAAAAATTTTGTGTTTCATTTGTTTTCTTTCTTGAGAGTTTATTTTCATCTTTCTTTCTCCCCTCTTTCTGTTCTCTCCCCCTCCCCCTCCCCCTCCCACCGTTTTCTGATACTCTCTCTTTCTAATGTCGTCCTGAGCTCTATTTTCTTCCACCACGAACCATGTTCACTCTAAGCGCCCACAATGCCGCAAACTCTAGATCCAACTGTATGTAGATGCCAAGAGGCCTTGAGGTTTGAACATATCCAACATCAAAGCATAGGTCCCATTCTCTAACTAGAATTATGATTTAGGAGAAAGCTCATCCCCTTTGAAACATGATGGGTTGCTACCAACTCAATAGTCAACCCTTGGTTCCAACTCGAACTACTCTTTTCTAGTGTTCCTTCAGTTCGTAGCTTGAATATTTTTCTTTATTACTTGCTCTATTTAAAATTAACAACAAAGAAAAACATGTTGGCTTTAAATTTTGGTGCTTGGGCAACTATAATCAAATTTTTGCTTTATTTAATTCAATACACAATTGTGATCGAATTTGTTCTTTGAAAATGACAAAAGCCATCATGTCAAAGCCAATTCAAATGTGGAGCAACACTAAATATCATAACTTGGAGCCGAATTTTTCTAGTAAAAATATGATAAAATAGATCATTATAGATGGATTATTTGATAGAAAGAAGAAGAAAAAAAACAAAATATCCATTAAATTCGTGATATTATTGGAATAGAAATACATTAATTGTATAATTTATGAGTTGTTCATAAGGATTTGTTGTGGGAAAAACGGGGGTAGATTTGGCATAGAAAATTATGGTTTGTTACCCATGCTGAGAGAAACATTCTCACTTTTTTTTTAATATATGGTTTATTTATAATTTGGTTTTTGGCTTGGTATGGTTACAAAGTTTTCCAAACCAAACTGAAACAAAAAGCAGAATTTATAGAAATTCAAACCAAACTGAACCATATTAGCTTATTTGGTTTGGTTCAATAGCCAAATTTGAACGGCCCTACGCCATTATTCTGACCTAATTTGTTTGACACCCTTTATCAATTTATATTGGGTTTTTATTTGATTCTTTTAATAAATAGGCTTTTATTTGATTTAAGAGATTAAATCATGTTTATAATAATCTATTTCATCTAAAAGAATGTGATCCACACCATTGAAAGCCTTTATAATGAGTTTTATTTAAATTAAAAACTTATTAGGAAGATTAATATGAGTCCCACTTCTTTTAAAGTGGATAAAGTTAGCATTTATCTGAGATGGAGCTAAATACTCTCACATGTTAGAGGAATAAGGCTTCTATTTGAGAGTGTAAGAAACTACTTTTTAGATGCTTTTTCTTGAGAAGATAAGATACCACTTGCCTAAAGTCGTAGAAGTATATTAATTTGAAATAGGAGAGGTGGAAGTCTATAGACTAATATCTCAATAAGTATATTAATTTGTTCCCTAGTTTTATCTATCAATTCTTGTGGATTCAAGAGATCAATTTTCTTTGTCTAAGCAAAACGTTGAGATCTTAGCCTTAGTTTTCATACTCACCAGTCACCACTATGTTATTACCTCGAAAAAAGGGATTAGTGTTCCAATTAGGAAGTAATGTTCAGAAGAGTTAATTAATTATTATATTCAATATGCCATAAATCTTTCTAATTAAGCCCATAATAGAGCAGGATGGGCAGGACAGGAGTCGTGTAGCCAACCCTAAAAAGTTGGAATTAATGTTGAATTGAGTTGAGTAAATGTTTCTACCCACAAAAACTTTGTACTAGGAGATTGGTGTTCAAAATCTTGTAGATTATCAACTCAAAATGCACAAGACATCATTTTGTCTTTGCAAGCAATTCTTTACCATCTAAAGGATTTGTCTATTATTGTTCTCTCAATGTCTTTGATGTACATACAGTGACAACTTCCATGTTTTATCCCTTTTGGTTTTGAAATTCTTAAGCTTTCCTAATATCATTACTATGATAAGGATCACTTTCCCTTTATTACTCCATCTTCCACAAAAGCCATATGAAGCATCCCTGCAGTAGTTATCAGATTTGATCCTCCGTTCACAACTATATCCAGTCGAGAACCCCACATTTGCGTAGGCACTGTAATGATGAATTTGAAGCACAGAAAAATAAATAAATAAAAGGAAGTTATCAACCAATACTCATCTTAATGGAAAAATATATGCATGCCTTGTGAATATAATCAATAAAATGATCATGTTTATTGTTTTTATTACTATGTCCAAACCTAGCGAACCTTCCGACATTCAGTAATCTTTAGATCCAAATCCAATATTTGCAGGGGTAGTACATGGAATCCCCATTTGGAAGCACCATTTGGCAAATATAGAGTTTAGATTTGGGGTGCAAGTCAGGTAGGTTGGGCCGGGTTTATGGTCAACCCAGGCCCGACCCTAAAATTTGGGTTTAAGGCCTGAGCCCGGACTAAGCCTAATGTTAAGTCCGATCTTCCTAACCCAAGTCTAGCCCACACTGTAATTTGATGCACTCAGGTTGGGCTCGGGCTTGGGCCCAGGCCGGATTTGGGTTGGTCAATGAACCCACTCTAAAATTATATATGTATATATGCATTTATGTAAATATATATACATATATGTATGCAAATATGTATGTATATAGGTAAATATGTATGCAAAATTTATATATATACATATGTATGGATGAAGGTGTATATTTGGGCTTGGCTCGGACTAAGTTCAGGCTATCTAAGGGCTAGGCCCGGGCCTGGCCTAAAAGATAGAAAAGTCTGACTTCTTGAGCCCAAGCCCAGCCTGTGTAAAATTTCAGGCTGGATTGATTCGGGCTCAGGCTAGACCCGCCCAAGTTGCACCCCTAGACTTCACCAGCCAGCCTCAGGCCTATAAACTGGAAAGTTCAATCTGGGCAGAAATTGAAAGATTTTAGTAACAATCTAATAGTCTAATATTGATCTAGTTAATCGATCTTAATCCCATTACATAATCAACCCAATTGTATTAGACGTGGGTCTAAGTATGGAGCCAACTAAGGGGTGTTCTTCAATGTGAATTGATTTCTTGTAATGAGTTCCAAAAACAAATTAAAACCATTTGTGAAAATAAATAAATTGTTTTTAAAAAGAAAAACTTGGAAATGTGTTTTTTGTTTCTAAAAACTTGAATGCAAAAACGTCTTCTTGGATTTCTGATTTGAAAAAACATGTTTTTATTTTAAACCATACAATACATCTCATCATTTTCGATAAATCATAAAATAACTGTGCTCCAATATTTGTTGTTATTTCAAAAACTATCATTTTGATGGTTTGTAAATTATTTTTTGAAAACAAAAAGACAGTTCAAGAACATGCTTTTGTTTATTTTTCTGATGTGGTAATTGAAAAAAAAAATAACAAATGAAAACAAAGCCATGCATTCATGTTGAAGAACACCCCCTTAATTAAAGAAAATTGAATTGAAACCAATTCAGCCAAGTAAGTTCCATACACCACCATGTTCTAAAGCTATGACTTAATCTTTTAAAATTGCCTTTATCAAGCGAGGGATGATGTTAATCTATCCCTAGTGCTCTTTGTTCTGGCTCAACGACCTAAAACTTCCTAATAAAATGTAGTTTTGGAATGAAACATATAATCTACCCTGTTAATGATTAATTTCTAACAAAATAGCAACAATAAAATGAAAATAAAATACTGCAAAAAGCTTACCTGATCACTTCTAGGATGATGTTGAAAATACTGAAGTTGAGAGGATCTTCCCTCATTTTTTCTCTCTCAGTGATGCAAATGAGGATTACAAAGATGACCAAGTAGGCTATCGGTGAAGATCCGAAGGTTTCCATCAATCGTCTTCTTCTCTTTTTTCCCTTTTTATTCTTTATTGAGAGCTGTCCATCTTGTTCAATGGGCAAAAATGAAGTATAAGCAGGAAGATACCTGAAAATTTCATCAAAAAGTTTCTCAATTTCTATAGCATAATCTACCTATTGAAAACCTTTTTACTTCATAATTAAAATGACCACATGCACCAAACAGCTCATTGACTCTAACTCAATTGAACTTCATGTCATGTTCTATCACTATATTGTTTGAACTCTTTAATTACAAGTCCCCACAAGTCTTTTCTCACTATTGAAACTCAAATTGAACCCAACCATAAATGTAAAAATAGTAAAATACTATTATCTTTCATTAAAGACTAGATGGGCACTCATTTAAATTTATTCATCAATCTCTCTCATATGAGATTGTCAGCATGGATGACATGTGGCAGGTCCATCAAGCTGCAGTCCTAATCAAGGGTCAAGGACAGTTACCGGATGGTGGACACGTTTTCAAACCCCTTAAAGAAGGGTATCATGTGGTCCTCATTGCTCAATTAAAGTTGGCACCCTGCAATTTTCCGACTTGGAGTAAATGAGTAATTCTAATCACATGGGTACAGCAGGGTGTGATGCCCCTAAATCACAAGAAGGACAAAAGAACCCTAAAGCTGGCAAGGTGGTTCTTGGCCCATATGGGCCCAATTCAGGATTTATTTATGGACTTGGATTGGAACAATCTTTAGATTCCTTCTTATGGTTGCCTGTCTGCCATAACCAACCCCTTTGATGCTGTGGAGTGTAATAGGCCACATCATGGCATGGAAATAAAAGCCATATTTCCCACACTGAAGTTACTCACTCCCTCCAAATGTCTTCTGTTGGTTCCTTGGATCTCTCAGGCGTTTGTGTGTGTGTGTGAGTGAGTGAGTGAGAGAGAGAGAGAGAGAGAGAGAGCTAACATCATAGCGACGTAGAGAACCAAGATTGGTGGAGAAAGAACGGATAAATCAAATATGGACTCGCCGGCATGTCTAGAATTCACAGACTGAAACAATGCGCCCACGAGTTTCTGATAAGAATTCAACCCGTCTAATGGTTCTGAATTCCATTCCAGAATGCAGAACAGCACAAATTGTAGCAGCAGAAAAGCTAAGGCAGTGAGACCCAAGAAGCAGGTAGGAAGGCTAGAGAAAAGATGTGAATAACCCATTTCGCTAGTGTTCTTCAACATGTAATCAAATTCATCTCTGTGGGTGAATTTCCACAAGACCCATATAATCAATCTCAAGCAAACTGGAAACAATGTATTTCCCATGAGAACTTGAGGGATAATTATTAACAGAAGACCAGAATTCTTCCTGAAGATGGCCATGTTCTCATTTAACGGAAGAAACCCACAATTGGCAAAAGACGATATTGCCGCAAACACTGAGAATGTAACTGTCTGAAGCCTCTTCTTCTTGAGTATTTCCCTTGCACTTTGAACATAGCTCATGTAAAGTTGAATGAGAGAATAACCACAGATATGAACACATATCAGGTAACCCAGCAGAATTAGGCACAAGTACCTTAGTGAATTATACTTCAACTCCCCTGTGTTCCCTGTGTCAAAGTTGAATCCAGCTCTGGTACCCAACTTTGATTGTTCAGAGCTCGATATAGAAGTTGAATCCTGCTGAGTTTCGATGTCGAATGGAGTGGCAGAGATGGGCTGATCCTTGTGACAAGCATTAATTTCGATTTCATTCTTCTCTGATTCAGCAGTGTACTTGGGTAAACTGAGTTGAAGACCCAGCATGGAAGTAAAGACCTCTCCACCTAGCAGCATCAGAAGAGTAAAAACCACTAGTTGGGTTCCGGAGAAAACCTCCATCTCGACGGTTGCATTGCTCGAAACAGTAGTTGCAGATACTGACATGAAGAATATATTGAGGTCGCTAGGCATGAATGTTTCATTCCCTGGCTTAAAAACCTTCAAACCCAGAAAACCAAGAAAAGAAACAGAGACAAGGTAGAATAGGTGAATCCAAAATGGGTCTACTTGAAAAGCCAAAAACCGATACAATTTAGCAGACAATGTTCTAAGAGATTTGCTAAAAGAAAGTAATTTCCTGCCTAAGCAAGTGAATAAGGGTAGAATTTTGCTCATTAGATGAGCAAGACTCTTCACTCCAAATTGAACCAGTGATGGGCTCAAGAAACTTTTCATGTTTGCTTAGTGTTTGAAGAGCTTGAAGTGGTAAGGATCAAGGGAGATGGATTTATAAAATAGTCATGTGAAGTGCTCATCAGCTTTTTGGTCTTTAACTCATAGTGGGATTTTCTTTATTTCTTTATTCTTCTCACTACTTGGATCACAAAAATGAGAATGAAACAAGGCATAATAACATAGGGTGAGGCATCTTTACACGAGAATGCTACGTGGTAATAGTAAGTGCTTCGGTTGAGTCATGGACGGCAACAATCAGCTTTGCTGATTGAGTACAATTGAATTGATTGGTCCTCTGGGCGATAATGATAATTGATAAATGAGATCCAGAAGATTTGCCCAGAATCAGGAAGGAAAAGAAATATACAAGACAAGAATTAAATTGTTCTAGACCTCAATTATTGATGTCTTTGGCAAGTGATCCCTCACGCAGAAAAAAAAAAAAAAAAAAAAAAAATCTAAGGCCAACATGAACAGTAGAAAAGCAAAATTGAATGTACAAAGTAACCAAAAACTTAATCGGTTAGAAGTACTGATGAATTAAATTAAGCCATTGAAGCTGCCATATTTGGCCCATATCTACTATGTCCAGCCTCCAAGCCAATTCACAAATGGGTACCTATAAAACGTGTAAATAGCCCACATGTTTATATTTTTAAATATCGATACGATATACCTAATATTATGTGGATATTTTAAATTTGACTGAAGTAGGTGAGATTATTTAGAGAACAAACCCTATGAAGTATCAGGCAAAAGAGAAGAAGAACCTATTCCGAGATCTTACCTAAGTACAAGGATCCTCGAACACTAAACCGCTTAATCAACAAAATGTTACAAAGAACCATTCAACCTAAAAGGTTATACTGCTAAGTATAAATTTTTACTAGCATGAGGACTCCGGAGTGAGTGAGCTTTCACTCGTCGTATTCCACACGGATGACACACGGTTAAGTCGACCTACCAACCAGATCTCTGACATTTTCTGAGAAAGAATAATTCTCTATCAAAAAGTTAAGAATAATTCAAAAGCAGAGTAAAGAAAACAAGGTAAAAAAGAATAATTAAAGAAGAAGAGGCGAAGTTATAACAAAGAAGACAGTCTACTTATCGCTAAAAAAGAATTGAAGAAAAGACTACAAGTCAGGCTTGAGTACGGACTCCGTGTAAACACGGTTTCTGTTACACTAAAACTGCTTTTGACAGACATTCAGGTTCTTATTGAAATTCTATAAAGTAACTTTTTGAAAAGCACATTTTAGGAAGTAAGACAGGCGCGTTACTGAGCTTCTTTTAAGGAGCATTGTACCTTTCAAGCAAAGTTCTTAGTCCAAAGTCCTTACTTTCCCTTATAACTATATCTTGGATCTAGCATATTGCATTATTACAAATTTTCTCTAATAATTCATCCAAATCTATTGCTACAAAATGATCTAATTCGAATTTTAATCTGTTTAACTTAAGTTAGATGCAGATGTGCGTTTAGCCGTAATCTGATCGAATCAAATTTTAAAATGTGAAGTTTATTATTTGGATCAAATTCGGATGTTACTTAATCCAATTCAATCATATCCGATCCAAATATGCATATACATATTCATATATTAAGTAAAATTTGAGAATTTGATAAACCTATTTCCAAATTAAAAATATATATATTTATTTTATGCTTAATGTAGTAAATTCATATTAATTTTATACAAATGTAGTAATTTTCTAAGACTATGTTTGGTTTGAAGGAAAATGTTGGGAAAGGTAAGGAAACCTATACAAGATTTATAAAGGTTTCCCTACCTTTTTCTTCCTTTCCCTACTTTTTCCTTCAAACCAAGCATAGCCTAATAGAATTGGACTCAAATTGGTTATCTACATAAACAAAGGAATCAAGTTCAGATAGCTCAAATTCTAATTGGATTGGATTCAGGTATATCCTTCTCAATTTGGCTAGACTGGACTCTATCATCTGGTTCAGTTTGACTGAAAAGGTCAACCAACCAAATTTCGTTGAAAATCTGATCAAATTCCTACATATTTGGCTCTCCATTTTTACAAATAATAAGAAAAACCAATGTTCTGAGAATCAAAACCGCAGAGAGGAAAGAGGTCAGAGGTTCAACCGAAGTCGAATCGGAGATCGAACTGTGATGACGTCACATGGTCTCGGGTCACTGTTCAACCGGTCCAACCAGACAGTCCAGTCCGATTTTCTAAACACAGAAAAATTACAACCGAAAGCGGTTTGCACCATTCAAAACACCAAAAACTAGTTACATCCTGATTTTTCAAATATCACAAAGTGAGGACTCTGCTCTCAACAGAATCATTTGTGTGTGTGTGTGTGTCAGAGAGAGAGAGAGAATGAAAAAAAAAAATACCCATTTCCATGAGAAATAAATGGAAACAATTGGAGACAATCTCATTTTTTTTATAAAAGAAATGGGGCAAATTTACAATTTATAAAGAACTTTTACTGGACTAGCCTCTATAAGCTCATATGCCAAACGAATGACCAGGTGGGCAGGGCTTAGCACCTATGATAAGGGGCACAACCCAGGCCCAAGCCCAGGACCGGCCTACACACCATGGCTGAGCTTCGAGGCCTACAATTTTAAATACTATTGATCCCAGGCCCAACCCATAAAAGTTATGGGCCTAAACCTAATGCAGGCAGCCTGTGCCTGGACACAGATCCTAGTTTTGAGGCAACATTCAGAAAAAGAAAAACAGCCGTATGTGAAGAAAACAGCAAATTTATTCCTTGTTAGGGAAGTACCTCACAAGCTTAATCCACAATAAAACTCTAGAACTACTTACTGCCTTCTGGTCCAGTCCCCACTCTTACCACCACTCTTATGCTCAAGCTGCACATCAGTGATCCTAATGTCCTTTGAAGCAGCTTTGCACATGTCATACACCGTGAGACCGGCAATTGTCACAGCCGTTAATGCTTCCATCTCTACTCCTGTCTTCCCTGTCGATGCAGCTTCCCCTTCTATCTCAACACTGAAATCCTTATCATTCAGTACCAGATCAACACGAACACGAGTCAGACCAATGTTATGACACAACGGAATGAGATTACTAGTCTGCTTTGCCCCATTAATTCCGGCAATTTTTGCCACAGTGAGTACATCTCCCTTAGCTATTTGGTTTGCAGAAACCAAATCAAACACCTTCTTTCCCAGCATAACCTTGCAACCAGCAACGGCAACTCTCTTACTGGCTTCCTTGGAAGAGACATCCACCATCTGGGCCTCCCCAGTGTTTGTAATGTGGGTCAGCACCGTCTCACTTCTGCTTTCTTCTGGAAAAGTCAACTGATGCTCTTGATGTGTAGATAAGTTGCTCAAGCCATCATGGCTAATTGGAGGTTCACCAAAGACAGATTCCATTTCCTGAACCACAGACATTTTAGAAAACCACAATAAAAAATGAGCAATGTATTCAGACCACTACAAAGTGTCTGGTGCAAGAGCATCCAGATCACTGCTCCCCAGAGAGAGAGAGAGAGAGAGAGAGAGAGAGAGAGAACAGAACAACAAAAATAAAAGGCATGTCTCATTTCAAATGGGCTCAAGAAGCTAAAAACTAAGAAGGAAAGATAGAAAAAGAGAAAATTGTTTAACATAAACCCATCAACCCTTGTGGGTTCAATTAAGCTTGTACAGAACCAATAACCAGGGTTACCTTATTGAGCTCCGCAATTGCATTATCAAGATCAGGGCTGCGGTTGCTCCTGAAGCATCTTCTCAAATAAGGAATGGTCAATGTAGTTTGCCGAAGAAACATGATTCAGATGGTGGTTGAACCGTCTCCTAGACCTTGTTAAGGAAGTGGAAACACTTCACTCTAAGTCATTAGTCATAATCTAAACAGAGTCATCTATGCTATCATAGTAAGAAAAGAAATTAAAGTGATGTATCACAGATAAAAATCTTTTTCTTTTTTTTTTTTTCTTGGTGTAAAATGGAAGATCCATTCAATAAAAAAATCAGGGTGAAACAACTATTAGGTCACTGAGGAGTGAGGATCCCAGTTGATTGAGAAAGATCACACAAGGTATTCTCAAGTTGTGCAGATCCTGAAAAGAAAAAAAAGGGCACACCTCATGACTAAATAACAGGCCACTTGTCATACTAGCTCTATTTTATACTTGCAATAGTAAATATAAAACAAATAAATGGCCATTCTAGCAAACTGTAAGGAGTAGACAGCATGACTTGTTGACAGTAACACAAGGCTTGGACACCATTGAATGGATCCCATTTAAAAGATGATTTGAAGGGGAAAAAGTAATCAGCATGATCAAATGATTTATGACCATTTGGTTTCGTCTTACTTTTAACTTTTCTATTATTTTGGACCTTAAAGAAATTTTCTGACCTGTCAATTGAATTCTAATTAACCAAGATAGATCTGAATCCAACCTGATTAAGATATATGCATTGGACTTGGATAAACTTTAGATTGGATATGATCCAATTCATGGAAAGCCAGTAAGCTTTTTCTAGAAGAACAGAATTCTGCTCTTGACAACATGGAAGGAAATGACTGTAGTTGGAAAAGAATATGGAGCCTTAAACCATTCCCCTCTCAAGGACATTTGAAACCAAGATATCACACATGCCTTACATTTCAACTGGAGATCTTTGATATCGTTGCCAAGAATCCTTGTACTCCATGGCATCTCAGTTTGAAAGGAAAAATGCACCTCAGTAATATTTTACCTTTATACTCCAGAACAGCTGGCTATGGTCTATGGACATTCTACCCAGGCAGAACTGTGGACTTCATTTTTTTCTTTCTTCGTAAGAAAAGATGATTTCATTAAGCAGGATAAACAAAATGGAAGAGCCAGAGTACAGCAAATATACTATTAGAAAGCAATTAAAAAAATTAAAAGAAAAAAATACAGAAACAGACTATCTTTGATTAAAGGACTCTTGTGCAATCATAGACTGGATTAGAAACTACACTGCTGGATCCATTATGAATAACTGGTATTTATTTCATTAATGTGAGAAAGTTAAATCAAAGTACAATCTTTTGCTTTTTTATCAGTTCCTAAAATTTAAAGAATTTTCTGTTCTTACTCCCAGAAGTACTGCCTGTAATATTATGTCAGTTGAGTCACCAACCCCTGCAGGCCCAGAATGAATAGGTAATATATTTCCTTTGTAGTTTCAGAAAACTCCCCCAACTCCAGAATAGCTTAGGTTGGCCTAGGCTGCAGCCATCAAAATTCATCTTTATAAGGTCTGAGGAGATAGAAGTCCATTGAACTTAGTAGCCACTCTAACCTATGAGGAATTGGCCCCCAATTACACTGCTGGATCTTGGATGTACAGATATATCTTAAAAGAGATCAACAAGTTGGCATTGAAGCTGGGCGCCACTTACAAGTAGACACCACACTCGGCCAATAGTAGGGATGAATAGGAATCAGATGTATTGGGGTTTAATTCCCTAAGATAGAACCTTGAAATCTTATTGTGGTGGCCAGCCAATGCTAGCTGACCATAAGGGGTGCATGGCGCATCAATGAATGTACTTCATGTTGGCTTACACTTTTTTTTGTTGTTTCTTATAAGTAACAAGTAAAAATCATTCATTAATGAAACTTAAATAATCCCAGAATACGTCAAACATGCCACAAAGAAATAAGAGGCCATGTACAAGGCTGAAGCTTAACAAAAAAGAAAAAAACTAACAAGTTACAGATTCCCGCTCTAGCAAATGTGTAAACCACCGTATTGTCACTTCTAGGTAGCCAGTTGAATGAGGTGTTCAAGGGATCTAGGGAGAGTGACTGTCCTACCAAAGGCTCTCTTGACAGTGTAGCCGGCCAGAGATAAGAGGAAGAGGAGAGAAGAGAAGAGAAGAAGAAGAGAAGAGAAGAGAGGAGAGAAGAGAGAAGGT